TCGTGCATCGGCTCGTCGCAGAGAGAGGGAAATGGCGAAACCATGGTAGGAGGTGGTGGTGCTGCTGCGAAATACGCGGGGGAAGGGATAAGAGGATCTATGATATTCCCGATATCGCCGATCGAGATCGGTGGTGGCTATGGCTGTATCGCGAGAAAGGCCTCTCGACGAGACGAGAGCACCCTCCGATGTTTTTATCGGTTTTCCATCAACGTTGCCATCAGCTTCTTACGCGTGGAATTCTGCCATCTCACTTTTATGGAAATCTGTAAAACTCGGTCACCTCCCATATACGGACCTCCAAGGGACGTCCAGAGGACGTCCTACGTGTCATAAGGACATTCCCGAACGTTCTTCGGATAAAGTGTGCTTATTTTTATCTTTTCACGTTTTCAATAATTAACTTTCTTCATTGAGCACAAAATATGTAAGCTATGGATCATGTATAAATCGTGGGACATTTGTTTGCTAAAATGCAAGCATGGTTGAAACAAATTTTCCCCTTATATGACATATAAATAATATATGTAATACTGTGTATATGAATATATTTTTTAAAATTAAATTTCACAAGACTTTTTTTCATTTTTATAAATTATTCGTCATCTAACGTATGCGTTTATAAATTAAACGAAATGTTAAACTGCACTATCCGATTCAAAATTTTAATTTTAAATAAAAGACATCGGAAAGATATTAATGTAAAATACAAAATACATTATGGAAAAAAGAAACGTTCCACAGACGATGTTCACTCGAGTCGCAATTTTACGCGCAGTGAGTTAACTAATCCCCGACTGTCAGTTGGTTCCTGTCTAAAGCAACAGGTGCTCGTCAACCGCTGCCATGTGGTAGCCGCACGAACGTAAGGCGGCATGCATTTCTTACGTTTCACGATATTACAAGTCACGATATTTTCGGGATCGCAAAAAACCATCATAATTTATATTTAAAATTTTTTTCTTTTAACGAGGAATATTCTCATATGCGTCTTAACGTAAAGAGATGGTAAATAAATTCCCCGCCGATTCCTTACCAATGCAATCCTTTAATTGTCCATATATTGTTCTGCTGAAAGGGATTTACATTAATGGGATTATAACACCTATGCGCGTAAGTCTACAAATGGTAATCTTAAATATGCATTCGATATAATATTTTGCCACTTATATAGTGAACGGTAGACTTTTCTCTCCACCTTTCTACACGTACGGTAGATAGATTATACAAAACATCGTCGTACAAAATAGTAGTAGTATCACCCATCAATTTCGTTCCAACGGATGACCCGCTATACACGGTATTGATTGCAATCAATGTTCGTCGCGAAATACTTGCACTCCACTCTTCGAACGCGCGAGAATTCTAATTGTAAGAAACATATTCCCACGACTAGAGAAATTAACGATTTGTGGTCCTTTGTATTTCGAAAAGCGCTTGGCTCTTCGCTTTCTAATAAGTATTCCAGAAAAACGTAAGATATTTAAAGAATGCTTGAAAGAAGAAGACCTTTAAGAAGGTAGATTAATGCGCTTGTTAGAGACTATTAATCTTCTTTACATAGCACCTTTTAAACGTATTATTTTATCACACCATATATATATATATCGACAGAGAATAACTTATATTTAAAATATAAATTCTCTTCTCTCTTTACTTCTTCTTTGTTATATTTCACGAAATAGAAATGTGTATACGTGTATACTTTGAAGAATTTTGCCAGTGTTAATCTTTGTACTATTGTAAATAGTTAATAAATAAGCGTGAGAAATGGATCTTGTGCAGGATAGGATCACACAATGAACGAACGAAACTGAAAAGACGGGAAACATTGTACTATGATTCAAGTTTTATTAAACAAATTAAATACAAAAGATTTTCTGTTGCTTGCTGTCCGCGTTATACAGACGAATATATCTCGGGTTATAAATAATTAAAACAACAGAACGAGGCATGGTATAAATAAAATAAAGAAAGAAACAGTGTGAGCGGAAGAAAATGCGGCCCGTCTTAACTTCCATTTCCCGAACAGTAAACATTCTCGCGTATTCGCATTATATTGTTTCTTATCAAAAATCACTAAAAGAGCAAGAATTAACTATAAAGCGTCCAGGCTTCTTTAATCCGAGACTAAATTTATAATGCTATCACAAGGTTTACATGATTTTACTGGAACATAAAAGTGAAATTTCCACTGAGAATTCTGCGTTCCAACTGATATCGTAAATAGCATATTTACATTTTATGTGTTCTTATATAAAAATTCCTGTTCTTTATAAACATTTCTTACATTAAAAACAAAATTGTTAAAAACATGTATCTCACTTATATAATAAGCAAAATAGTATTTTCGATATCCAGAATTCCCAAATAAAAATTCATTAATTTTTCTCGAAAATTATAAATGCATGTGGAATGATACAGAGCCTGGTACGCCTAAAATGCAAAAGATAACAAAAGAAAGAACAAAGATAAAAATAGATTTGTCGCATCAGACTTGAAGAAAAGAAAATTATTTAGTTTTTGACGCTGCATGACGAAGACCTTAATTATCAGTAAATACGCTTAAAATTTTTTTCGAGAACGTTGGATATTAATATTTAAAAGTCGTTAGGATATGTACAAAGAGATATATATATGAATATGAAGTGTGGTGTGCGTGTGTGTGTGTGTGTGTGTGTGTGTATTGTGTGTAACTATATTGAATTCCTGTCCCAAAAGACCGAGGTGAACCATATATTCTCTCTTGATCCTTCGGGATTACTAGACAACTGTGTCGAAGAGTAACACAGTGTTTGTGGTTTTCGAGATTGATCGTTTAATAAAAGAAAGAAAACAAAATTAAAAGATAAATAAATAAACTTATATTAATAAGTAACGATAAAATTTAATAGCGATTCATTAAACGGGGATTTTATATGCCTTTTTCTTTCTTTTTTTTGGAGATGATTAAAAGAGAAAGGCAAGACGAAGTTTGGAATGTAATTAATAGAGATAAAAAAAGCACTGTGTTGACTCTCGATATTATTTCTTTTTGTCTTTCTTTCTCACATACACATTCACTCTTTCGCATTCTCCCTTATTCTTTCGCGTTTTTTCGATTTCCGCATACTTGGTAATCGCAAAAACGGTGCCTGGGTAATTAGGCCCTCTTTGCTAACGCGTCGATACGTATCGTGCACGTGAATTACAGTTTCTTTATAATACTTAAAAAGACTCAAGTCTCATGTAAGCAGACAAGAGCGCGCGCGCGTGTGTGCGCGTGTGCATCTGTGTGTGTGTGTGTATGCGCGCGCGTGTGCTGTGTACGTACACACATTTGTATCTGTGTATATATAATATACATGGCTAAATCTACTGTAAAATAAAGCCAACCGCTTCTCTCGTACCGACATGTAAAGTAGCGAAAAATGTTTTTTTTTCTTTTTGTCTTTGTCCTCGAATTCTACGAGATACGATTTGAAGAAGTTTCTTTCATACGTTGCAGATTACACTTGTAAAATTGAACAAATAACCCCAATTATTTATAAAATAACGCAGAGTATAAACCCAATGATAATATCGATGGTAAAGTATCGAATTAAAGGTTGAAATTAGAAAAATAATAATTTATTTGCAAGTTAAAATTAGTTAAGCATTCTATAAAAATAAATGGAGCAAAGTATATAATATTTCGTGACGTGTAAACGAATACGCTTAAAAAAATTACGTTGTGATAAACAAATATCTCGATCGTAGATTTCGAGAAACTCTTTTTCTTTTGTACTTGATTACGTCGTCATTAAAATTCAGCGAAAGCGTAAAAGTACACCAACTTTCCTTATAAAATTTGAATTGTCTGTACCAGAGTCAGATTGGCAATAGAAATCTTTTAAAAGGAAGGCGCTTAAAATGGAATAAATTTCCGTTTCGATTAACGTAAACGAAATCTAAAACGATTATGAGACGTTTCTATTTTGTTTACTAATAAAAAGACGAATCTTTTTAATTATTAAATATATAATGTTGATGAAACTATTGTTTTTTGTGTTTCAACACAAAAGCTAATCGCACTATTCTAAATAATGAATCTTTGTCTCATTTCTCGTAATTTCTCTGCTCCTCTTCCCTAATTACTATAACACTACGCTATTTACACCAACTTATGCTATTATGGGACACTAAAGATTAGCCTACTAAGTATATATTACAGGACACGCCGTCATACTTTCTCTGGCGACACGCAATATATATATATATAAATATATAACATCTTTGGACTTGGTTTTATTACACATTTATATAGAATATTACGATATAATTTTCTCTCCTTCTCTCATCTAATTCGCTTCTCGCTACCTCGTGAAAGCCCATGAGCGCTTACTTGAGAAACGTTTCTTCAGTCTAATAAAAGAAAAGTATTCTCCTACCGTCTTTTCTCTCCTGCTTACTGACATTTGTCAGTTATTTGTCGCTTTCCACGATACGTTGTACAAATATTTTAACGCTTGAGATTCTCGGTGATTCCTTCAGGTTCGTCGCGGTGACCCTTGGAAGACAAGCGTTCTGTTTAAATAAGAATAAACGCCTTTTCTCGTAGTAAAGTCTAAGTAGGTTCCATCAATATGAAAAATTGGCCCACGCCTCAAGAGAATGTCATGACATGTTAAGGGCCAAAAGCCATCGAATTAGGATGCTACAAACGCGAAACGACATTCGCTGTTATAGGAAGAAAGTTCGTGAGCGTCATCGATCTTTCTTGCATTCTCTTTTCGCTTAACGGTTCGCGCATAGCATCATCCGGCAACGATTTCTCTTTTGGCCGTGCAAAAGAAACAGTATGACAAAATTAACTAAACGATAATTGAGACTCGGCGAAACTCGTAGATCATTTAAACCGCCGACACTTGAGCGTCCTCGTCATCTGCAACATTTCAAAATGTGTTTGAGTAAATGACATATTAAAGTGCCAAATATGATCGAAGTACGAGAGACTCTAATTTATATCAACAGAATTTAACGCGTGTAATGCTACTCGATTTAATAATATCGGTTCAAATCGGAACAAAATATATCATAAGAATATTTCAATGCAATGTTACAATTTGATTGATAATGCCAAGATTTCTGCTAAAAAAATAAAAGCTGTTGTTAGAAATTTCCATGCTGCACAACGCAATATTATATGCAATATTATATTTTGTTTGTGCGTGTGCGTGTGTGCGCGCGCGCGCGTGTGTGTGTAACACAAAGCAATTTACAAGATGTAACAATAAATTTCTAAAATAATTTTGTTTTCGTCAAAGTGACAAGACTGTAAGCCGATACTTCCCGCAATCTAGTCCCTCTCGATCTGCATGCAAAGGGTAAACATTATCAACCGTTTTAGTTATCGTACAAGTTAATTTTTGTAAAGTTATATTTGTATTCGATGTTAATAAAAAGTGGAATAAACTTAGAGCCAAAAAATCAAATTTTTAATTGATAAAATTTTTGATGAAAAGTAGCAAACCGTTAACGAATATTTATAAAAAGTTAATCAAAGTTTATTTTTTTTCCCTAAAAATGTTATCACAGATATTTCCAGACAGTATGTTCAAAATCGGGACATAAGATGTCTTAAGGAAATATCTTCAAAATATTTTATAATTCTCTCATTTTGGATTTGTGTAATGCTCTACGTTTGTTTTAAGTTGCATTCCATTTTTCTCATAATACAGGATACAAATACGTTTTTACACGAATCAACTTGTACAATGACTGAAATGATTGATGATGTTTAATCTTCGTATACAGATAGAGGGAGATTCAAGTTCACACAACGGTGGGAAATAATGATTTACAGTATTGTAAATCGAACTTTGGTGAAAACAAAATTATTCCCGAAACTGTATTATCGCATCTCTCATATATGAGCAATTTATATTTATTCTTCATATCTTTATGCGTTAGAGTCTCTCGCTTATAAGGCGATGCCTATAAATATAATATATTGCATTTATTTCTCATCAATTTCTAAATTTCATACTTTAAAATAGATCAATTCGAAAAAAGTAATTGATGCAAATGAAAATGAACAGGATAAAACGTGCGACAGGGACAAGCAGCAAATCATGCCTAGGCATCACGCAAAAGATAAACAAATCGCAAAATTTAATATATCGTAACGTTTCAATGCAAAATTCAATGATGATAGGCAAGCTTGTGTATTGTGCAATGATCATTAACATAAATATTGACATAATGCAAACGAACATGATTATACATCACAAAATTATGTGACTATGCTTAATGAGTGCTACATGACAATCACACTGATTAAATACAAATTTTACAAACATGTTATATAGATATTTCGCTAATTTTATAAATATTAAATATAGTATTTATTTACATTGTGTACTAATAACCACATATATGCGTTAATTAATGCTAACTGTCATTGTGTTTATAATTACGTTCAATATTGTGTTTAAAAATATATTCGTTGTTATGTTCAAGATTTCATTTCAATATATTAAGTATGTCAATATATATACATTAAGTTTTTTTAAAAAATGGAAAAGATTATTTCCGAAGTGGCTTGCAAATATTTTTAAATTAGCATTACACATCAGAATAAAAGATCTAAAAATATAGTTATACATACATATCTGTTTAAATATGTAGATAATAGAAAAACTGGAAATATATAATATCAAAATAAAAATCATTTTCAATGCACGCACGGTAAAATAAAATATCCAACAGGAAAAAGTAATCAAAATGTTGCAAATTAATAGTCGTGAGAGTACAGTTTTAACGAAAGCTATTCTGACAGTAGTGAGCTGACAGAGTGCTTTCACCAACAAATCAGCACTCCTCGCCGTGCGTGAATGTTGACAACGAGAACGTAAGAAGCCTCAACGAGCGTAAACCGAATATATGTGTGTATGAGGGTGAGTATGAACCGTGTGTAAACGGTACAACGATTTTGCTAGATGTAGTACCATCTTCGTGATCGGTGCCTCGATAGGTGACCCCCTCGTGGCTGTTAGCACGACCGAGTCTGTGCAATCTCGCCATCTGCTGCGCAACTTTGTACGCCGGTGGTTGACGGCATTGCGGTGTGTTACTCATGCCGGATCGTATCGACGACGTCATGTTGCCCGCCATGGCACCCATCGTCGTCATTATGGTCGTGGTCCCCGCTCCGGGCGGTGGCAGCGGAGCTGGCATCCCTAGGCCCATGTTTACGCCTAATCCCGTAGTACCTGAAAACCCTCGACTCTCTCGATCTCTCTTTCTCTTCGTTCCGCCCCGCCTTTCCTCACCTTCTCAACATCCTCCATCTCGTTGATAAAGTAATTCACCTGCCATCGCAGACGTAGGCGTTTGTAAACGAGCGAGAATGTCAAGAAAAGCAAGCTAAATTTATTCCCGCTTATACTCATTCTAATTAATAGAGTAGGTATCAAGAGCCGAAATATCTTGTATATTATATAAAATTATAACATTAAATGTTAAATGCACTATCTTGCAAAATGAATTATATTAAAAAAATAGAATAAAATAAAAAGCTCTCGTTTTTATAGCATTTTACAATTACTTCACTCTCTATACATTTATTTACACTTTTGTAACGCAATATTCATTTGCGTTGTTACCATCTCTTCTGTTAATATTCAACACGGCCAACTATATTGATTGAAATTTTTTTTAGCTTTTTCATCCTTTAGTTAGAAGTAACACAAAAAAGTTACACCACTCGACTCGAATAATCACTGATGCCCGTTTTTACGAATGTAGATTAACTACTTTAATCTCGGTTCAACTTATTCTTCATCTTTTTTTAATTCTTGAAACTAGAAAAAGATGAAGAGTTACTACATAGAAACAAGTCTGAAAAGGATAACAGATAATCGCGCTCGCTTACAGCCAGATCCACGAGAAATACGCGATACGCGAGGTTTAATGGAAACCGCAAAAGACATTCATCGTTACCCGCCACACACAATCTACCCAAGAGGAAAGAAAAAGCATAATATTATTTTATATTAGTATCCTGAAAAGAACCCTCAATTATCTCCGCTAATACTACGGTATAAGCAAATATGCAAATGGAGCAAGTTCGATGCAACGCGTTGCATTTCTAGGCCACACTAGAAACGAACGTTAGTGCTACATTTATCGCCAGCGTGCGTACCAACAGATTCGTTCGATAATTGATAGTTTTACACACACGGCAACGTCACGCACCAGAGACTAAACACCGATTTTTCTCGAGAAAGGCAATCTCAAGTTGCTTACAAAACTCAAGATATATAAAGACGCTGAAAACCAAGATTACTTCTACCATTCGCAATACTTCAACATGTTTCACATGCATGAGAGCCATACTGTTTGCACCTTCAAAATAATGTATTCTGCTTTGAAGCGGCAAAGACAGCAAAATCAATGAATCAATGCAGGCCATTCATACGAAACAGGCAGACAGTCGCGAACTCACCTTGAGGAGTTGGGAGTTGATGATGATGATGATGATCGTGATAATGTTGGTGATGGTGATGGTGGTGATGATGATTGTGGTTGTGATTCTGATTGGCAGGAAGCGGAGGTAACACTGCTACCGCGTGAGGGAACGGAGGTGCTCCGCCTCTTATAACAGACCCTGCACCATACAGAGGCCACATACGACATATTTTTTTTTACAAAATTTACAAATTTATGCCGCTACTGAAAACGCGAAAAAAATCCTCGGAACGAATCGTCTTTATGCGATGCAAATATTTTTAAAAGCGCATGATTATTATGACGAATAACGCATGAAATACCGCCTGCGTGATCAAGCAAGTAGTAATAAGCTGTAAAGCGAATTTTAGAAGCGTTGGAACTTTAAAAAGCGATTAAAAGCACAGTTATTATGCTATATATGCAGCACTCGACGACGCGAATATCGATACAACATACGGCACGCAAGATTTAGTAATAATATTTCATTCTTTATATATATACGCTCGTATGATATTTACAGTAATCCGTTTAACACTTGAGGTACGTGGCCATGGGACATACGTTTTTCAGCGATAAAATTTAGCCAGTGACATAAATAGCAAATGATTACAATAAATAAAATAACTCATCAACGAAAATTCTTAATATTTAATATTTAACAGAGAGCAACAATTAAAATTTTATATATATGTATATATTTATTGTGTAAATAATTTATATACTCAAATCGTAACTGTGAATATTTAAGAATAGATACTAGACATCTCTCGGACGGTTTAATTCTCAACGCTACAAAATCAAACACGAAAATCACTTTCATATGTCTATAGCATGAAGATCTAGACACACCAAAATAATAATGCACTAGTTTCTCGATTCTAAATAATATCAACAGTACTTTTATTCAATACAAACGACTGACACGTAACCACCTGGCAACATAAAAATAGATAATGCAAAAATTAAAGCCAATGTAAAATAATATAAATATGAATGGATAGGTGTGTAAACAACTATAAAAATCTGACATAATAAAATATATTCAACTCTCGTCATGAGCGCGCCAAGAAGAATTCGATTTCTGGTGCCAATTTCCGATCCGATGGCATCGAACACCGCGAAAGAAACTACTATGTCTCTACTACTCTACTACGGTATGTCTACGGATCGGGCAAGAGGAACAGCACACGAGCACACTTCGCCATAATCCGTTCTCTCGTTTCACTTTCGCCTTTTTGATTACGTACCTTGCAGAGCGGAGTGCCGTCTTTGCGGTGGCGGTGGGCTGCCGCCCGCTTCCACGCTGCTCCCGCTGTGGCTGTCCAGTTGAGTGCTATGACCACTGTCACTGCTCGTCACCGAACCTACGCACAGGTTCCCAAGACACTTCTATCACTACACACGTTCTAACCGAGGGATTACGCCCTGACGCGATCGCTAAACGATCCTATTGTCTAATCGCGATGCTCATTCGCCTCTATTCATAATCCGTATCTTTTTGTTCTAGAGTAAACTGTTTCACAAAGAGAGCCGGTGCAAAAACCTAATTTAAACTGATTACTTCGCCGCACTCAAATTGCACGTCTCTCGCATGTTCCTATCTATATTTCTTTCTTGCTGTCTACAAACATTTATATCCTATCATTGGCAGAGCGTAATCAACAAGTATATTTTATGTGCGCGACTGTACGCCGTATTAAAATAACCGATAATATTTTACCGATTCCTTATACAACGTTCAGAAATCAGATTATACTCATTTAAATACTTAATTTATCATTCAATTTAGACTACGGCTGTGCAAATTATTTTATTTTCTATAACATTTACAAATTAAAATTATCAGGATTTATTGAAAATTTCCTACTTCGAATGCAGCGCTGTAGATACACCGATCTTATTAAAATACAACTCCGTATGTCCCATGGTATGAAAGTTTTGAATCGAAGCCGCAGTTCGTGAAATTAAGTTCGAGATATCTCTCTCTCTCTCTCTCTCTCTCTCTCTCTCTCTCTCTCTCTCTCTCTCTCTCTCTCTCTCTCTCCCTTGTGACGTCGGATTGAAAAGAAAAGCTCGCGCTATAGTAATCGGCGTACAAGATGCGTGTGTGAGTGTCGTGTATATATGAATCAACTAAATAACATGGAACATTTATGAATTGCGTAAACGGCTGTGCAGCGTGCATAATAATGAGACTCCTTGTTGCGAGACCTGACCAGTGTAAGTAACGAGCAACGAAAGTGCGTGATGGTGCTTTGCGAGATGCGTGTCTAAGTCAATTTAATCGATTAACATCTGTCCGTCTGTATATGATCTAAAAAGTCAATATGATCCATAAACAAAAAGCTATTGAAAGTACGCAAAATAAAATAACAAAGATCTATTTAGACGGAACAATCCATCTAAATGTATCTTTAGAAAATTCTAAAAAAAAAGAAAACGTATTGGACAGCATCTCGCTTCAAACCATTTCATAAAGAAAAAAAAATCGTACTCACCACTTGTTAAAGTTTTTCTTAGAGGCTGGAGATTGCTCAAACTAGTTACACTACTGCTCTCTGCACTGAGATCGACAGGCGGTGGTAAGCTGGCAGGTGTATCGCTGTGGGATCGTTCGTGCATTGGTACCCTGCTGCCGGATCCTACTCTTCTAGGTGCACCTGGACTAGGCTCTAAACCGCTTGAATGCAACGCTAATCCCGGTACAGGTAGCGGTGGTGCACAGTGCTTAGGTTGATATGGTCGTGTCTTGTGAGGATCAGACAGAGCCAACATCTTCCTAACTGCTTGAGGCGACGCGGCGCCGAATTTTGTACCTAAAAAATCCATAATATATAAATACAAATTACAAAATAAATTCTTCAAAAAAATGTATTACAGCGCAGTTGAGTATACAAATTCACCAACCTTGTATACTCTTCCTGCCTTCACTGGTACTACTGGCGCTACTGGTAGTCGACAGAGTAGGCGACGGATGCCTCCTTCCCCGACTGCCACCTAATGGTACCGCAGCTGCAACTGCAACAGCTCCTGCATGTGGTTCGCAATCGACAGAAAGTTGATGTAACCGTTCTTCATCGGTGATCACTTTCATGTTCGCGAGATAGGCCTTCACTCTTCGAACCATCTGTGCTTCCTCAAACATTTTTTTCGGATTTGGTGCAGCCGTGGATTTTTTTCGTCGTTTCACCGTTGCAGTTTGACCACCTGTAAATCGCGATAACGCAAATGTATAAATATTGCATTTAAAACTAGAAATAATAAAAAAAAAACAACATAAGAAACTCAAATTAATATTGAATAAAGGCCAATAAGAGGGATGCCACAGTTATTATGAGCATATAATATTATAATGTTTTATTAGTGTAATTACTTTACATTCTTCATATATATTAATTTCAATGTTTACACATTTCGACTTGTTTTAAGCCATCTTCAACGATATGTAATAAGAAAAATAAGAAACTCACCTTGATTCCCAGTAGTCATTTGGTTCAAAGCTACCATTGCAGAACTTGGTGGTTGTCCACCCCTTTCTAACATAGTTAGTAAATCATAAGGTGAGGAACACATATTTGTTAATGTTCTCACTTCCTTCGCGATCATTCTGAGTTTTTCAAAATTTACTAGACCTTCTACTCTTGAGTCATTACCAAGATGTATAAAGGTCAAGTCCTTTTTCACGACTGGATAGAAAGGTATCTGAAATAATCATTAAACTCGCTAGTAATAATTTAAAGTCAATATAGTGCAAAAACTTGAATCAGAAATAGATAGTAAATAACAAATTGTAAAATATAGAAGTAAACGTTAATAAAAGATAATTTTGTTACAAAATAATGACTCACTATGGGTGGTTGTGTTTGTTCAGACGCTACCAATTGTCGATATTTACTCATATTACGGCTGGGATCCATTAATTCTTGTAAATCACTGAATAATCTTTGATATTTAGTTGGCAGTTTTTCCCATGAAGCTCTTAATCTCGATACTGAGCCATGACCTAAACCGGATACGATCGCGAACATGGAATTGAAATTCTTGCACTCCTTGCATTGACCTATACAGAAAAACATTGATGTAAAATATATATATGAATATATATATATATATATTAATGAGATAATAATACAGAAAAAAGATCCAAATACTTACGCGCTATTTTAATAAATTGCTTTATAATCTTACTGCGCCGTACGAGATTATGTTCCGAACAAACTTCCGTTACAACCCAGAACATTTCTCTGTTGACTAGTTCTGCAAACTGACTGAGCATAGGCACACCATACCTACTCTTCAATTCAAACAGGTCATCCACATACTCCGTGGATTCGATTTGTCTGTAACAAAATATGTAATAAATGCAAATTTTCGAATTTTATACATTTCATGAAATATTAAATTATCTGAAACATTAAATTATCTGAAATATTAAATTACCTGAATATACTGAAGTCTTGCAGAGTCAGTTGTATTGCTACTTCCACGGCATTCAATTGCAGAAAGTGTACTTGAGACTCTCGAATAAGTTCCGGAGCTTGATCGTCAGCTACTAAAGTTTCGGAAATTCCGTTAGTTTTCAAGTAGTATCGAGAGCTTAATCCGATCCGTTCAGCTAGATTCTGTAATTGATCTGGTAATCTACGCTGTTTAATCATACCACCTTCGCCGACGCTTACTTCCGCCAGAGAGAAATTCGAACTACTTTCTGTTATGCCAAATTCTTGAAGTGCAAGCATTACTACCTACAATAAATTAATGCATCGTTATATATATGTATAACCCAAACATAATTCGTGTTTTTCTTTAATTCTTTAATTTTAGCCGTATAAATTTATTTACCTCATGCGCCGTTGTTTCTTTGTGAATAAGAAGATATTTGCAGGTTTGATCAGCTTTATATACCTTGAGCACATGTTCAGGATAATCGTTTGCTCTCAAATCATCGTAACAATAAAGCGACGTAAGATCTGGATTACTCTTCGAATGATATAGATTAGTAGTAGTTTGCGTAAGCCCTGTTCCCGGTGGTGTGTGCGGTGGAGCAAGAGGATCATCCAAATGTACACCGTCGCTATTAAAATTGAAAAATATTTTGTGCCAATAAAGGATTCATGTAGATTTAATTATTATTTATGCACAATACTTTAATCAATACACTCACTTGATCGTATTCTTTGGCAGTATGTTCATTTTCATAAGTGCTTTCTGTAATCGCCGTTTAGGTCCAAGAGTCATAAATCCCTTATGCTCCTTTTTAGAGTCTTTACACGGTGACACATTGTTGTCCGGGATTAATAATGGTACTCCACCAATCATGGGATTTAAAGGATTTACAGGAGTCATGGGATCTACATGTGTCGATAGTCTAGCTCGTGGATCTGATTGAAGCCTCGGTATTTCCGGCTTACTTGTTCTACCTCGAGGTCTCGGAGAATTATCTGGCATTTGAAGCATTTCTTTGAAAGCTGTAAAATCAAATAATTTTGAAGATAAAGAGAGAATATTTTCCTGATTTATTTCTGGTTTATAAATTAAACTCACCAAGTAAATTAGATTTTACAGTTATACTGAGATGCGTAGAAGCCCTCAAAATATCAAGAGCTTTCGCATGATTTACATGCTCGAAACTTTGGCCGTTTACTTCTAAGATCTGGTCACCTCTCTTTAAACCGACATCTTCAGCCTTGGATCTCTTGTCAACTTTTGAGATAAATATACCAAAACCTCTCTCAAATCCTCCTAAAATGCTAAAATTTAGGACCTCATCCCTATTTGGCCTGGCTAACGTTACATTCCGCGTTCTCGCTTTCGCCGCACATGCAATATTTAACAACCTGAAATTTCAGTTATAAGTAATTATTATTTTTCTTAATGTTTTAATATATTTCCTTTGAAAAAATAAAACAGAAATTTACCTTTGCTGTCCTAACATTTTCTCTCTTTCCAGTCCAGTTTCAAATGCTTCTAAAAATTCCATCATCGCTGGATCAGTCTCGAAATCGGTAAAATGATTATTCACCCATAAGAGCACGACGCGAGCAACGCGATCTCGCACTTGTGCTTGATCAAACCACTCCAACAGTTGACTTGCGACTAACAACGGACTATCAATAAACGTTCGATGAGTCAATAAAAAATCTTCCACATAAGTAGGATCTGTAATACTGTTTTCTTCAATGAGCTGTAACATCAAACGCTCTGGCGTTCCCCGAATCACCACGTGACCTCTTCGCGCTGCACCATCCAAAGCTCCCCGCAATTCAGTCACTAAAATTACCCTTCCATTCTCTTCATGTCTCCTGGTATTCTCTTCGCCTTGATGTTGTATTCGAAAATAATCTGCCTGCGTGACACAAACAAATTGACAATCGTCGCACCTGCAAACAGAAAATTGCATTTTTTATACTTTTGTATATCTTTCTAGGCTTCTTTGTATATCTTTTACGGCTTATATGAAAGTAGAAAAGAATCATATTACGAACTTTGTTCTCATAACTCCACGATGTAGCAGCCTCTCCATAGTAGGCAAGATACCAAAGCTATCACCGAGACCGAGTTGTTCAATCTCACCATTGCTATGCTCAATCTCAACAGCACCGTTGATTAACACGCTCCAACTGTCGAGTTCCTCGCCGTCATTCAGGACCACCATTCCAGCACGATCGACTACCGCAAACACCATCACAGCGCACAGCGCTCTTCTAACAGCCATAGTCATATTTGTGAAAGCTTTTAATTGTTGCGTAAATTCTAAAAGCGTTTCTATGTCGTCTTCTGTTCTCTCAACAGGATCTTTCTCTAAACATTCTCGTACAGGATCACGTACCGTTAAACTCTAAAATATTATAACAATAAACATTAGAATAGCATCTAATGCATTTCTAGAAAACAATAAAATAAATAAACAATAATACTTACGTCCATGCTTTCTGCCAGATCTTCCTCCTCATCGCTATCAACAATGGACTCCACAAGACCTGACAAATCCACTTCATCAGGATCTGCGTCTAACGAACTTTGTACAGACGTCATAGTGTCGGATCCACTGTATGCTGAACTTGTGTCACTTGAATGACTGCTCCTGTTTGATTTCTGATATAGCTCTGGTCTGCCTGTAAGGCCCTGTGAGAACTAAAAAAAAAAACATTTTAATAACTTATTTAGTTATTTCCAAATTTTTTAAAGATCCACATACATATTTTTTGCTAGATTTTATCATAAAATTTACAAACCATCTTTAAACATTATTTATATAATTAAGGAATAATATTTCATATCAAACTTTTTATAAAATATAGATTAATAAATTTAATCTCTTCCATATATTTTTTTCCAATGCTAAATATTCCATGTTTATTATAGAAAATTATATATTAAATCAATATAAAATTTTGATACAAGATACAATGTATCCAAGGAATTTGCAATGAGATATAAATTCTAATTTGTAACGAGATTAGAAATCTAATCTCTAATTATTACAGGAAAGATTACACAAGTACATAATAGATATGTATAATGTTATATTCAAAGAGATATTTATGATAAAAGTTAGTAATAGATTAAAGAGAAACAATAAACAACTCGAAAAATATAATACTGAAAGAAATTTATTTGTCATTTACACATAAGCAGTCATTTGAACATTATAAAAATACATTGATGTGAAATATAAGGTAATAGCAATAATTTAAACATATGTTCCATGTAACTTAACTTTCCTTTGAATTATCAACCTAACTAGGTACCGACAGTACTGACAATAATAACGAGCAATTCAAAAACTGCCCAAAATAATGAGTCGGAAGGAAAATCTACGAAAATGATTCGCAATGCTGTTTCTGAGCATTGGAGACAACCTATATCCGCGTATAGTTCTACGCGCGGAACAAAAACATAGACGACGCCGTTCGCTAACAGCGCAAAGTAGGAAATACCAAGAATGGGCGTGATTAGGACAGGCTCTAGTTCGCGGTTAGGTTAGGTCGTACAGCGACATGACATCACGCTCGCACGCACGTATGTATGTACATACTGGTACATACGCAGACCGTGCGAGCATCAGGGCGCGGGTGTATTTCTCGCGCGCGTTCACATACATGTACATATTCGTCATCCAAACAAAACACCTACGAACGACGAAGCTGTTGTCATATCATCGCGAGGGGAGGCCGCAGCAGGCCGCAGCAGGCCGCAGCACCGCAGCGTGCAACAGAGATGCGTATATGTATACACCTCGCGTTCTCCGAGGACAGGACTCCGAGAACTCGCTTTCCCAACGGAGCACGAGCGCTCGCGAGAGAGGGAGACGAAGAGAAGAAGGGAGCCAAGGCCATTTTGAGCATATCTCTCAAGGAGGAGACTCGAGACACTCACTTGATACACGCCGAACGCGTCCATCGTGTCAGCGGAATCCACAATTCTCCTTGTTGTTCTCGTCTTCCTTCTCGGCAGAAACAATCACGACAGATCCAACGAATCGTCAACGGAACGCGTCCGCATTTTCCTACGCGCTTTATCCGCCTCGTCCAATTGTTTTTCTCTCACTGGCGACACTGGCCGACTGGCGTGCCGCTCCGCCGCTATGCGCGTGGAAGCTGGTGGAAGCGGGCGCGACTCGCAACAGTCGCAACAGTCACAACGCGTCTGAACCTCTTTGCACAGCTTAGCACGATGCTCGTGATGCGTCCGTCTCTCGTCCGCGTTGTCGTCACTGCCGTGTCGTCAGCTTAGCGGACATAGGACTGCCTCGTCTCGTCTCGTTTCGTCTCGTCTCGTCTCGTCCCGCCACCACCCGCACCACACCACGACTCACGACGCGTCGTGCCGTGCCGCTCAGTGCCGCCGCTGCTGCCGCTGGCAATGCTAGCAATGCTGGCATTCCCTTCGGATCGCAGCGTAGTCACGTGATGATTCGCCGTACCCGTACCGTGCTGTCCGTGCCTTGAGCCGTGAGCGGCTCTTCAGGACCGTGTCAACTGGGAGAGCACACCACGCCACGCCGCGCCGCGACGCCCGGAAAGAGAGGGGAGATTGCCAAGCCACCTGTAGCTTCCACGCACGATTCCGCTTTTTCTTTTTTTAATTTTTTACCTTTTTTTTTAGAAAATTCCATATGAATCTCTTCACTGTTTTGTTTGTAAATATGTCGCATATTTCCGATTACAAATGCAATCGAAACTACGAAATTACAAATCTTGATTCTTGATAATCCGATAAAACTGACATCGGAACTTTAGACGCAAAAAGTTCGAATTGTATTTGATTTTCCTATATGTGATCATATTGAAATTTACTACAATAAAATAATTGTTTATGATATATACAATTTATACGTATAATTTTATCATTTAATAGAAGTTTAAGAAGTCAAAATATATATATATATATATTGCAATACTACAGTATATATGGCACGATCATCCATACATCCATGATCATTAATCCATAAAATAAAAGAGAAACTAAAGAAAAAAATCATACAGAACAGTTAATATCCATATATCGAAAAATACTTTGATATCGACTAGGAATTCAATTAAATTTCATTTCCCACATAAAGTTGAAACGATAGCTGGAAGTTTAATGAAATTTCGTTGTCCATATTGCATGGGGATTAAATTAAATTTCCTTACACTGAATATACGCACATATTTCTAGTAAATCCAGTATCAGTATTCGTAATTTCACAGTAGCTCGTAAACGCGACACAAATTTGCATCTTTATAATCTCAATATTTACAGGCAAACTGTACAGCCGTTGCATGAAAACGCATCCTGCCTTGTTAACATAATATATAAAACCATTGTTATGAAACTGACCTCATTATAACACACAGTCACATATACGTAGTTGCGGTGGCGGCGATGCGCAAATGAAATTTCACACAGAAATTTAAAACAAGGTGAAAATTACAAAATAATAATCGAAATAATTTACTAATGCCTATAATTGGAGATATAACTATATGCGGGGAAAAGAGTAATTAAGTGTAATTTGCGTACAACAGGGAAGAGAATTTAAATAATAACTGTTTGATTCGTGAGAGGATTAGTTTGGGATTTCGAAGCGATTTGATGATGACAGATTATGAATAATTACGAGTTTACTTTACATGGAAGAAGAATAAAGATTATGAGAGACGTATAAAACTCTCCTACGTTTGAATTTTTTTAAATTATATATGTCTATCATATGTCTATCACAAGCTAATGCAAAATACATCTCATTAAACACTAACTTGCTTCTTATTAAATAATTACTTTATAGGTCAGACTTTTATAAACCTGAAAATTAAAATTGCAATCACAACAAAACACCATTGCAGTTTCAAATCTCGCTGATAATAATCATTCAACATTTGAAAAAAATTAATGAGAAATAAAAGACACATAATTAACTTTACGATAATTACTTTAGATGTAGATTGCAGACATTCAATAACGATTGAATAATGGTAAGACAAAAATAACCGAGATTAAAAATACGCCCGATACTGTAATGTAGTTTCCTTCGACTTGCATACCCACGCGAATGTCGGCAGCCAACGAAACGTCATAAGGATATTGCAAAGCACGCTCGAGAAGCTGATCAAGAAAGAACGCACCGATGCTCCCGCGATTAATATTCATCAGCCTTCGCGATTAGTTAATCGCCATGCGGAACAATAAGCAAACAATGATGTAAATTGACGCCAATAACGACACCTGAATTGATCTTAAGTAATCTTCTCTATAGAAAGTCACTGTTGGGTGATGGTGTAAAATGCGCTTAAGGAGTCGACGGACGGTCGATCGAGCTGGATCGAACCGCAAAGGAACAAGATAGAAAGAGACGAAACGAGATGTAACGAGAGAGAAAGAGAGAGAGAGAGAAATAGAGAGAAAGAAGGATGAGACAGGAGAATGAGGATAGAGAAACGCTGCGCTCTCTCTCTCTCTCTCTCTCTCTCTCTCTGGTCCGCTCAAAGCATCTATCCAGCAAGGAATAGTAACCGCTCAAAGGCCACTGTCCGACCCGACGGATGATTTATACGACCCGTTATGTCGTTCGTACTCGTGTATCTCACTTTTCCTTTTGCCCCGCGCCAACACACTACTTTCCAAATTGCTTCTTCCATTCAACTTTTTGCCCGCCGGAAGGACGAATGTGCTGCAGGTACTCTGCCGCACACGTTTGGAGCCAAATCGACGAAATCTTTATTATCAAATTATTCGTGAGCATCTCGTGACTATTTACATAGGCGGACTGATATCTTGCATCATCCGCCATTGATTTTGATAATTTTATCATTCCTCAATCAGAAAGTAAGACAAGCTTCTATATAGGCTTTCTGAGGTCTCAAAAAATTATTAAAAATGTTTACTTCACATACAATTTTCTTATAGGTAAGTTTTATAAATTTCGAAGATAGAATTTTATGGATAAGACAAAGGTATCTTATCAATCGTAACAAGTATTAAATTATTTTTATTTAACAATTATGTGCTCAGAAACAAGAAAATGGAATATTTTCGTCAATAAAATTTCGGACTATAAGATTGTCATTTTAAATAAATAACTAAAAAAATAAGAGCTGTTTACCGTGTCATCGAAGACCAGATTGACCTGTCGATGGTCGGTTATGGGATGGGGATGCGGTGGTCGATGCATCCTCCCTCCACCATGGACTTCCGGGTAGTCGATCTGCAAATAAATACAATTTATAATAAATTGATAAGTAAATTATAAATAAATTGTGTATAGAGCGTACAATTTATTAATATTCAGTAAGTGATTATGCGAGTGTTTATAATAAAGTATTTGAATATATATATATATAATCACCGAGGAATGATTGCCTGATCGCCAGTTTGTAAGCGTAACTTGATATCGTTTGCTATGTATCTACCTTATGTTGATTATTACTTTTAATCTAGATTATGGCATATAATACACAATTGCACAACACATCTAATGAAAAATAAATCTAATGAAAAATAAATAAAGATTTGTATAAAGATAACAATAAATAAATTTTACATTTATGATATGAGGCGTCTATAATGTCTTTCCCCCTAAATGCGTGGTGATAATTTCATTTGCGGATGCATTGAATATCGCTGCCTTATTTTTACGCTCTATGCAATACACTTTTGAAAAAATCATCTCATCTCCTATAATAATAATCGGTTTATATAGAATGAGTCCCGCTACTACTTTAAAAAATGTTAAAAACATATAAATTCCGATTTTTGCATCTATTTTCAATCAGATATCTTCATAATTAAGTATAATAAACTCACTTAAATGTCATTTAAATGTCAAAATAAGAAAATTAATTGGATTCTAGAAATTCAAATAAATTAAATTTAAAGTCAAAACAAATAAATACAGAGGATGTTATATAAATACAGATATCTTGATAAATTATAAGATGTACCGAAAACGGTATTATAATGACAAGCTAGATTTTATTTTTTGTGAATTATAAAATACTATATAAATTGGATTAAAGAATGATTTTATTAGTTTATTTGTATTCCTAAAATTTACTTTATTAAAAGACTTAATTATCTAATTACTTCAAAATTACTATCTAGTTGCGCGTATATATATATATATACAAGGTGAGTCATATACTTAAAGTATACTTAAAAATTTCGTGAGCGTATTCGTGGATAAAAAGGAAGAAGAAATGTTCCTAGAACAATAGACATAAATGCAGAGTAGTATCAAATAATGACTTTATTTTTAAGAAAGTTTTACGTGGGTATTTTTTTAACAAGAGATGTTCAAAATCTCCTCCACACATGCCTGAGCATGACGTGCACATGACTGGCGCATTCATTCGTAAACATTAAGATTTTATTACTTCGATAACAAAGCATTTTTGCGGCTAAATGTTCAAAGAAGCATTTCTTCCTCCTTTTTATCCTTTTATCTAATTTGAATTTATTACTAGATGTTTTAGATAATTTAGATAATACAGTGTGCTTAATCCAACTTTTCTGTGACAACATAAAATAATACAGAATAAATATGTATTTAAGATGTGACGAATGATAATATTTATAATAATAATCATAAGCATAACTTCATTCTAACGCAAACAATATATGATCGAAAATAAAAATAAATAATGAATAAAAGATAAGTAGACTAATTATCAGACTTGATATTAAGTAGATACACTGCACGATAACTTACAGTGTTAAATTATCCTAGATTTTAAGAGATGATATGCATAAAAAATAATGTGCGATGAAATAGCAGCAGATGGTACTCGAAATTTGAAATATATACTCTGAAATTTGAAAACTGAATTATAAATGCACGAGCCAATCTACTAACAAATCAAATTCCATACAAATATATGTACTGTATTAATTATAAACAATTTTAATTCCAAATTGGAAAACTTTATGACAGCATCGCAAAACGTATCCATTGATATATTCATCGAGTTCTCAAAGAAAAACGAAAAAAAAATAAATAATAATTATTCTAATTAATAACAGATTTCGCAAATTTGTTATGAAAGAACCATTGCTATTAATTGGATACTAGAGTATTATCGAAAAGTTACCATTTCAATATTTTAATTATCAGCTGATTATGATAATGTCAGCTGCTTTTTGCTCCTCGCGACAGTCTCTTTTTCGGTTGACAGGCAACAGTATTCATTGCTGAACAGCAAGGGAAAAAAGGATGAAAGAGACAATGAGACGAGTGCGCTTCAGGCCGGAACTCGTAGGCCGGACTTCCGGTAGATATGCTGGTTATACGTTCCATTCACGGAACCGCTCCCTCGTGACTCGATTGTTACAATGAATGTTTAGCCAATTTTGGGATGAAAGTTCAGTTTCCATAGGTGATCAATTGATCGAACGACACGATGTTCCGATTCGGCATTTTGCATAATGCATATATCGTCACGATAAAAAAAGTAGCGCCCCACACATTGCATTATTCGTTATATTGCGTGGAAAGTGACATAACACGTTACTTGCGTATTTTTTCGAATGATTCAAACACACACATATTTAATTTGTCCTACATAATCATTAAAAGAATTGCAAACTAATGCCGCGACATTATGTTAACATTAACGTTCTCGTACAATAGCTGTAACCGAATAGTACATTTTACGATTACAGTCTCTCTTCTCCTCTCCTTACTTAATAATTTAATACTGAAAACACTCGCGAATTTATAATTAGCAATCGAAAGCGTAACGCAATCGTGACGCAATTTATAAACGAATAAATGCAGAATGTGCACGTGTTTTTGACGTAACAACTGAATTGTAAACAATTATCGCATATTAAGTATAAATGCAAAACAATGGCAAATTATTTAAGCAAAAATGTTTTACGATGCGTTTAATTATGCCACATTCTACATGTCCGAAAAATACATTACTATCACATTTTCATCAAATTTCATATATACTTAATCCCTATTAAAAATACATCGATCCTCTTAGTATTTTTTATATCATAAAAATTAAAATTTGATATATATAATAAAATTATATATCAAATATCAAATAGATAATAAATAACAACAAAAAAATTCCATAACAAATTAGAAATAAAATTATCAGTTATTTGTACATTAGTCATTCAAAATTATGTAGAATATAGAGAAATGATTAATCGACCATAGAAAAAGTATTAATACAACAGATAAAAGTTGTACGACACTTTAGACGAGTATTGAAACGAAGTGCAGGATGAAATAATATTTCAAAATATAAAAACGTTATTTGCTCTCAGTCTTGACCATTCTTTGCGAGCGGCTAATGATGGTTAAATGAGAAATATTCTCTCAATTATATGCTCTCATTCATTCCGTTCTCCCACATTATGTTCTCAATCTCTGCATGAGACCTTCGACCTACGCGTGTAGGCGGCATACGTTCACATGTTCACAAATACATCAAACAAGACGTACATATGATCGCGAGATGTCAACTCGCTTTGCCTCCTCGTCTTTCCATCGATTTCGACCAGAACGTTAATGACCTCGTTTCGTTCGTATCACTTCACATGCAAGGTTATCAACTAATTATAAGAGGAGCAGATGCCTTGAATTAAGATATTGATATGTAATCGAAACTTGTGTGTGTGATATGAAATATACGACTGTTTCCTCAACGGAAGAAGATAAACCAGCGATTAAAATCATTACAAAAGATAAAAAATCGTGCGTTTCACCCGCAGCAGATGTTTAGCATGAATTGAAAAGGAACCTTTATTTCATTTTATTTTTGTAAATATGATACTACCAGGGTTGGTAAAAAAACATGTTTTAAACGTGTTTTAAACAATTTAAAACATGCTAAATTGATGTTTTTAATATGTTTTTTAAATATGTTTTTTTATAGTACTGTTTAAAACATATTTGAAGCATTAAAAACATATTTAAGACAAAACACAGTACGTTTTATTCTTAAAAAAAAAACATTAGTATTTACCAATCCTGGATAATGCTTTCTTCGATATATACGTACGTGTTTTTATTTTTATTAAATATCACATTTTCGCTTCTCATTTATTGACTATTAGTACAATTTACGCAACGCATGTACATTTGTGCAAATCAACACAACACATATATATATATATATAGGATATCAATATATTACTATATATACAAATTTCGTGCAGACTGTATAAATTAAGACAAAATAATATCTAAATTAAAAATGAAAAAATAAATTTATATATAGTAATCTAAATAAATTGTGTAATATATTTGAATTTACAGCTTAATTTTATTTTGAATTTTTTTCGTCAAAAATAATCTAAAACGAAAGTGCTTTTCATTAACTGTCGACGCAACTTTCGCGCAAATATTTTTGTTCTTAAGTTTCAAAGTAAACATTAACAAGTTATAAAAACAAATTTGCATCATATAATTTATTCGTAATAAATTAACTTTTCAAGATTTAAGATGAAATCGGCCTCTCTTTACCTCGGACGATACAATCGATAGAGTTCTCGGTGTACCAGGCCAGCTTCTGGACAATGAGCGACCTTTTCGTTTTCTTACGACGACCCGAGGTCGTCCAGTCCTGCTTGTATGTTTCAACATCGCAAACTCAGGTATAATTCAGTCGAAATTACAGAATGTCTATTTGTATACCACAGCGCCACGTGGTTCCTTCTTTGCCATCACTACACAAATCGATCCATGGATGTCATATCTCAATAAGCCAAACAACCATGTATTACCAGATTCGATGTTTCACACAATATCTATTTTCCAACAATTCGTCGATACGTTTTCACGTTAATCACTCATCAAACAACACTTTGTAGATTTAGGCCGCACAAAAATCGGACACTGCGTTGTAAATGTCAAACGATATTCCACATTAACGATTGAGATTTACGAGAGCACAATGATAACTAACATACCATGAACGCTTTCATCTATACATAATCGCGGCGATTCTATCGTTTTATGAATGAGACCTTGCAAATTTTATAACTTCAACATCAACGTCAACTAAATCGACATCCAATAAAATTGTTAACATAATTGTATCCTGCTCGTGTTTCGCGTTTGACATACGTACGCTCTCACGTACGTTGCGTCTCGTGGAGAACTGAATCGTTCACAATTCTTGAAGAGGGCCAAAGACCGACCTGCTCCGGTCACGTGATTTACGCTCAGGAACGTAGAAAGGCTTATCG